AAAAAAAAAATTCATATTTTCATACTCAGGAATTAAGATTGCTATGTTTTCTGTTGAAAATAATATGAAATCAACCTAAGTTGGAAGTATACTAATTTTAACTAAAATTCAAAAAGTAAACAACAATAAATGAATTTTTCTTCATGTAACAGGAATACTGCATATTTGAATTTAAATTTTCTCAAAATGAGACAGTTTACCAATTCATTCTGAATTAAAGGAAACTTCATGTTTTAAAATGATACTCTGTAACATTATTACACAATACAAAAATATATAAAATCATAATATATTTCTATTTAAATGTTTTTAACTATACTAATAATTATGTAATTAAACTGCGTATTACTACAGAATTAAATTATTTTCTTTAATACACAAATTATTTACGACTTTCTGTTGTATATTATTTCTATAAAATATTTGATTCACAAAATGTCAAACATTTCCACATGAAACATAAAATAGCCTTGCCTGAACCGTGGAAACTGTGTAAATCATTTTCAGATTGGCTTGATATTCAGCAGCTGATACTCCCCGCTCTGACCTGCACAAAAGATATTCCATGTGGGATATTTACCATTCTAAAGTTCTAAGAATGAAAGGAATCAAGTATAGAGGTTTTACATTTTGTCTGGGGCTAAATTTTTTACATTTCATTGTTTCCGAAAACATCCACACTACCTTCAAAAAAACTATCCGGATAATTAAAATTTTGCTCTAATACATGAAATGCCATACTTCAAACTGAAGTGTTCTTTTAAGACATACCTTCCAATTAATTTTAATGTAGTTGCCTCCAAATAAACCCAAAGTTTAAATACATGAAACTTGCTTGTTTGTGTGCTTATTTTCAAAGAGAATGTGTCTTTGAATGAAGCATTATAAAACTTTTACACGAGTTCTGGAGTACTATTGAAATTAATTGCAACTTTTTCATTCATTCTTTATTTAATAAATATCCTTAACAAGAAATACAACTTTTTTTTTTTTTTTTTTTTTATTTTATTATAATAAATCAGACTAAAACCAGAAAAGTTCTTACACTAAAGTCCCAAGATAAAAAAAAAAAACTACTTTTCATACTAGATTATATAAGGATCTAAAATATAAACCCTGAACAGGATCAAGAAACCATAAAAAAGATAAACATTAGAGAATTACATAATTAAGATGGATACAAACTAATAATGAATCTGTTATAAAAGATAAAAAGGACCATTCAGTCCTTCAATTTGTTCAAAGCTGTTCCTGTACACCTGTCCTTGAGAAAAAGTAAAATCTTAAGCCCTTTTATCTTTCAGGGAATTACCGATTCTACTTTCAAACTTTTGTGAAGTGCTGGCCTCCACTACTGCTGACACCAACTCATTCCACAAATCAATCAATCTTCAAATTTTAAAACTTGTCCTCTCATTGTGTTGTCTTCAAAATACAGCAAAAAAAGAAAAAAAATCAGAGGCCTGTATCCAACCAATCCCACAGTTAACCTTGTAAACTTCAATAAGAAGTTACTCTTCTTTTATCAAAATAAAATAACCTATTCACACAAGATAATCCTTCCACCTAATCAGAGAACACAAGAAATCTTAGCCTATCTCATAACTCTTCCATACCAGAATCATCCCAGCAGCCTTCCTCTGAACCATTTCCAAAAATTCAATATCCTTTCTTAGATAAGGAGACCAGAACTGTGCATAGTATTCCAAGTGAGGCCTAACTAGTTTTGTATAGAGATAATCACCTCTTTCTACTTGCAATCATTATATCAATAGATACACTAAAATTCTATTAGCTCTTCTTCTAGAAAAAGATCACTGTCTCAATGGCTTGAGTGACTTATCCACTACTATACTAAGATCCTTTTCTTCAGTAATTCTATTGAGCGAGTTCCCATCTATATTAAATATATTATCCTAATTACGAAAACCCAAATGTATTGAATTACACTTACTATAATTATGTGATATACAAACATGTCTCATTATACCATGTTCCCAGCCATCATTAGTAGTTGGTCCATTTTTATTAAAGATTTTATTTCTGATTACCAAGGATTTTCTCTCGGTGCCCTGTATTTAGTAATGATTATTTTCCAAATGCCCCAGAAAAACTAAGACATACTACAGAGTGTATTGTTTATGAATACCTCAATATAATTAATACATTAGTAAAGTTTGTAGATGCTTATTAGGTATCTAACAAGTAATGTGACAGCTTGACTGGACTCTATTAATAAAGCAATTTTTTTTGCTTTTTCTTATCTAACAGTACAATTTACTATACTTTCCTCAATCACTGATGTGATTTTCTTAGCTAATCTTGTGTTACAAAAAACCTTTTGAGAATCTAAGTACATGTATACCAAGACTACATTCTTTACACCATCCAGATAATAGGAAACATCCTTGAAAAAAATTACAGATTAATACCTGAATATTTTCCTTTTGTGAATGCATTTTGGTTTTAACTTCTTTATCAGACTCTCCAATATTTTTCCACTAAAGAAGTATGACTAACTGGCTTATAATTTTCATTTCAAACAGGTCCCTGAACTCATCCATTTAGTTCGTAAGTTATAACATTAGAATACTAACAAGCAAGCTTATTCTTTAATCTACTACACTTATCTTTAAATCAGACATTCTTATCTTTAAAATCTAGCTTGCATTCTTAATCTCCTATTTCAAAACTTTATTTCCCTAACTATTGTGATAATTTGTTTATTTCCAATTTCCCAAACTTCCTCAAAACTATGCAACTATATTTTAAAACTATCTTTAATAACCTACCTGATGCCTAACCTACTTAATTTTTTAACATACAAGTCATTCTTAACCTGAAAACCATCCAACAGGTCCAATTAACCTATCTGTTGCTCAAAGTCTTGGATCCTGCTAAGTAATTTGCCCCCCCCCCCCCACACACACATAATAGCCAGAGAGAGCACTCTCCAAGGGGCAAACATAAATTTCTGACCATAAAACTCTGAAGATGTTCTTCAAATTCTTTAAGCAGCTATACTGACTTAACACTTCCAACATAATTCACTCCTATATGCACTACAAAAAATGTTTCTTGGTACTAACAATTAAATTATCAACATGCTCTATAAATATAATGATTGTACATTAGCACTTGGTAAGCAAACACATAGTCTTTCCATGCTCCCCACTACAAACAATTTTGTCACTATACTCGATGAGAGAGTCCTCCACTCTGTAAACTTCTTGTTCATCTCATTCCACACTACAGCCACTCAAAGGTTCAAATGCATTAGACTGGTAACTTTATACTAAATGAACCCATATCTTAAGTTATAAAATTTATACTACTGTGCACTTTTGTCAATAAGCTCTATTACTCTCACCCTCCCTCAATCAGTCTATGCCTTTACCCAACTTTATCCAACTCCTGTCTTGCTTGCTTGATTTCTACTCCAATTTGCTACTTGCCCCTTCCAACAGTGTGGTCTTCCCCCAAAATATCTTTAACTTCACCTAAAATAAGCAATTTCTGCTAGTTTAGTGAACTTTGTCTTTCTGAACCTCCTAAAAGACTCAATCAAGCCCACAATTTATTAACATAACCCAGACCTGTCAACTATTACACCCTATAAACTCCACCACACTTATTCATGAACTACCTTTAAGTTTAACCATAATGATGTTTACTAATCTTTATCTCCAATCTACCACATAATAATAGAAACATAGCATATATTTGATAATATTAATAAGTAAAAAACATTACAAGATACAATTATGATTTACTTACAGGGAAAGGTCAAGTCAGCTGGTCTTCGAAGACCAGAGATATGTCCGTTTCTTTATAAAAGCAGCATACTGTCATTTGTCTATTAGTATTATTAATAAAGGTAATGGATGTATAACTATACATTTACACAACAGTTTAGCTAGCATAATTTAACACCTAACACTGAACAATTTGTAAGCAAGTCAATCGAACATTAAATTTCGTCTGCATGAATTACGAAACTCAAACTATCAGCAATATTAGACCCTAAGGCACTGAGAAGAACTAGTTATTCATAGTAGTACGTAATAAGGCTATAACTATTAGTACTACTACTACTAGCAGTAGTAGCCAAATGAAAGTCAAAACAAAATTCTGACACTAACTTGACTAAGCCTACTTATTATTTTACTAGATTGATACTAGAAATTTGAACTCTTACTTATCAATCCAAAACGTCCAACTTGTATTAAGAGGAACTTCTTCGCCTTCAATCTTTTCATTTTCAGGGATAAACTTATCAGATGTACAAGAATCTGTACCGGCCTGCTCGGATTGTTTATCCAAGCCAGGCGCGGCCATTTTCAGTATTGAAGTCAACAAGTTCAATTGTGTTTCAACTTTGTTATTCACGTACAATTCGTAATCAAAAACAGAAACCAAAACAGTCCAAGTGGAATACTTGTGACACTTATCAACTGTCTCACAATGCAACCAGCCTTTTTATTGAAGTATAATAGGCGCATGAGATCTTTAAATTCTTTGAATGTAAACTACCCTTTATTAAATATTCATTTTCATGCAAATAAAGTAACATATTGATTGCGCAATACGTTTAACTCTTTACTATAAACTAATTTAGAAAATAACTTTTCAAATATTCCCTTTTTTATACACTATAAACTTGTGGGGATTTTAAAAACATGACAAGAGAAAATTAACGTATTAGAAAATGTGGTGGAATTCTTTTCCTTAAAATATCAATATTACGAGTTTCAGAAATTATTTTTACCAACATGAAAGATGATTAAGCTGTCTTATATTCCTCATGGGATATAATTTTCAATTTGCGCATTAATGCTGTGAAGAGTCATGGTGTTTATTTCAGCAATGTTTAACTGTAGTGACGAAATCTAAATGGATATTGGGATCGATCTATAAAAAACATTGATTAATACAATTGTTGTTATTACAATACACTTCTGATTATATACCATTTGGAGTTTTTATTTTGCCATTTATTCCCTGGACTTGGCATAGTTAAGGCACTCATCTCGCAATCTGAAGACCGCGGGTTCGAATCCACATCACCGAACATGCTCGCCTTTTCAGCCGTGAGGGCATTAGTTAATCCCACTATTCAGTGGTAAAAGAGTAGTCATAGCTCAAGTTGGCGGTGGGTGGTTTTAACTAGCTACCTTCCCTCTGATCTATCACTGCTAGATTAGGGATGGCTAGTGCAGATAGCCTTTGGGTACCAATGCACGAGATCTGAAACAAATCGAACCATTTATTCTCGTCTTATTAGAGAAAGAACATCGATCAACTGAAAAATAATCTTACTGGCTATAAGCCTTAAGCCGATTCTGCAATGTGCTAAGTCTGCTATCTCAATCTAACTGCAAATCCATGAAAGAATTACACTGTCTGATATCTCCAGAGCTGCTGAACAGGTTCTACCCCTAAATATTATCCTTGTCTCACAGAAGACATGGATGGCTGAAGGTCTACATCGTGCCTTATGGGCTGAAGGTCATTAGACCAAATGGGAAGGTCTCTACAGGATACTGAGACTGTTGCCAATCGGGACAGCCCAATCCTAGTTCTTGTCATTCTCACTTATTACCAGCCAAAGAAGACTGGAGTTAATGCTGATAGATATTGGTCCCAAAACGTGATAAAACGAAACATCCACACTTTCTTAGGTTTCATATCAAATTACTCACAATTCGTGACCAATTATTTTTTAAGATTGTTGTATAGTTTTCTGCTCTACCTAAACCAAAATATCTTTCAGATGAACTGAGGACTATGATTATGGATTTCAGTCATTAAAATTTGCTTTAGTACAAGCTCCAGTGTTAGCTTGTTTGTTTTTTAATTTCGCACAAAGCTACACAAGGGCTATCTGTGCTAGTCGTCCCTAATTTAGTAGTGGAAGACTAGAGGGAAGGTAGCTAGTCATCACCACCCAATGCCAACTCTTGGGCTATTCTTTTACCAACGAATAGTGGGATTGACCGTGACATTATAACTCCCCCACGGCTGAAAGGGCGAGAATGTTCGATGGGACAGGGATTCAAACCCGCGACCCTCAGTTTACGAGTCGAGCTCCCTAACCACCTCGACATGCTGGGTCCGGCCAGTAGGAACTTTTCCGAGATAGGACTATTCTCTCACATTACAGTTAACCCTCAATTCGAATTCCGCCTCTCGTGCATCATTTCTCATTTGGAAAATGACATTTATCTGTTTTATTGAACTATAAAACTTATGCTACAGAAGAATACAAAGACGTAC